TTAAAATGAAATTGCTCAGTTATATGATATACCTTCAGAAATTCACTTTTATCTCTACAATTAAGAAATACCACAGGAAAAATACATTTTCTGATAGCAGAGATTCTCATCAATGTGATGGTACCAAAAAACCACTGTGGTACTGAATAAACTTAAGAGAACAAGTCGCCCGAAAATGGGAATCGCAGCCGTATTCAGGAGATACTTTTACAAAACCAGCTATATCTCTGGAACTAGGTATCCTCTCTCTAGGAGACAAATGTGCTGTTTGTAATAGAGGATTTGTTCAATCTACACGACAGAAGAAATTATTTTGATTGCTGGCGAAAACCGAGAGTTCGACGATCCTGAACACGATTGATATGATGTGGTTAGCCCAGTTGTAGAAAGGTTGCTAGATAGAAGAGATCAGGTGCTTCGGTTCTATTCAATCAACTGAAGAGATCATGTGTTTCTTCGGCAAGGCGTTAAGCATGTAATAAAACTCTGGAACCTGTGAAAACTATGAAATAAACAAAGTTGTGACATATTATCACCGTACAATCAAGTATTATTATTGTGTACCTCATGACTGTTTGAATGAAAATCAAATGAGATGAAGTACAAACATAATATGAATGATGCAAATCGCAATTGATAATGTACAATTGAGAATCAGGATTAGTCAAGTTGAATGTGCATTAAGAGTGATGCATATTTGACGGGGTTGTTTTGGGGCGATCTTTTAGCTTATCAATTAATTATTTTATCAATCATCAATCGATCACTCCAGCACAACCAATTATTCCTTCTTATCTTCCTCTTTATCGTCCTCCTTCTTCTCGCCTTCTTCCTCCTTCTTCTCATCATCCTTCTTTTCTTCGCCTTCCTTCTTCTCGTCATCCTTCTTCTCGTCATCCTTCTTCTCGTCATCTTTCTTTTCCTCATCCTTCTTCTCCTCATCCTTCTTCTCGTCATCCTTCTTCTCCTCGCCTTCCTTCTTCTCCTCATCCTTCTTTTCCTCACCTTCTTTCTTTTCCTCGTCCTTCTGTAATTTTCCCTTATCGTTTAGTCATTTTCGTGCTTCTCATGCTCTGTTAACTGTGTGATCGTCAATTCTACAGTAACAACCTCAAGGATCTTACAAGGCGCTAAGCATGAAAATGTTATGATCTAATGGATCTAATGATCTAATGAAACATCTAATGATCTAATGAATCCAGTGCCTAGTGAAGGATCTAATGAAAAGGTAATCGTTAACCGATCAATCAAAGTTTCTGATCAAACTACTACCGGAATATTCTGAAAATGAATAGCTCACTCCGTATTTCTTTTAAAACCTTAAAGTGGCCAACATCTTAAGACCGAAACATCAAAATACTCCAGTTTGATGGTAACGCTACAAAGTTGATGCCCTAGTCAATTTGTCTAGAGGCGATTTGAGAAGGAACGATGCAAATGAACCTTTTCTTCATCTTTCTTTTCGTCCTTCTTTTCCTCTCCTTCCTTCTTTTCTTCTCCTTCCTTCTTTTCTTCTCCTTCCTTCTTCTCCTCACCCTCCTTCTTCTCTTCGCCTTCCTTCTTCTCCTCTTTCTTCTCCTCGCCTTCTTTCTTCTCTTCGCCTTCTTTCTTTTCATCCTTCTTCTCCTCGCCTTCCTTCTTCTCTTCACCTTCTTCCTCTTTCTTGAAGTATACTTTGAGCCTGAACATTTTATCATTCAGCAGAACGCATGAGCCTTTGTCATGAATGAATTGACTGCGATCATGAATTATTACAGTCAAGAATTATTTATCACGGAATTGTAAAGAAATGAGATCAGACTACTGTCACTAGAGTGTGGTGTCACACGATCATGACCTCTTCGTCCCATCAGGATCGCCTTTGTGATCCTTCCAGCATGCACGCGGCGCTTTTGCTTCATCAGATCCTTTGATATAATAAACCGCATAGTAGTGTTTACCACTGTCCGGAACTGTCTTGCCAGCATTAAACGTTAGCTGAAATTCAAATGCTGTTTCGATTCGAGATTGTATGTCATCCAGAAATTCTTTTGCGACTCCTATCGCTTTACGATCGATTGATCATCTGTAGATCAGTAATCAAGAGAATTGTAAGTGATCAGACCAAGTGATCATGCGAGATAGAGTTGATATCGAATGAATATCGCTCGGGAAGAAGGTTTACCTTAACGGTGACTTCTTCTTCAGGTTTTAATGCGAATACCGGTGGACGTATCCGGAACATCTCATTTGAGGTGCATTTTACCTTACATATTTGTCGATCCTGTAAACAATTTCACACTTTCAACGGTTTCGATTGCTTTCCATTTATGCTCTCAAATAGTTAACCGTCAATCATAGTTATCTTCTGAACAGCCAAAACTAACGATATACTGTTCAGTCCAAATTCATTAAGGTAATCAGTAAGTGGGCTCAAATCAGTTTAATTCTCATAGCCAATGAGTAAGAATCAGTACCGAATGCGGAACGAACCTTGGTAGGGTTAGTGACTTTGAGTGTTGCCAGCACTGGCTCTTCACCCAATTTTTTGCCCACATAAGTGATTTTATCTTCTGGATCGAGTTTAAGCACAAAATCGCCCATTATTGCGTTGATGTGTTGATGAGTTGTTCTTGAAATTCATTGTCTGTTATTGTCATTGATAAAGGTTTGCAAATGAAATAAAGTTGCAACGTAACTAATCTGAATAAACGAATTTCATGAAGACAGATGATTCCAAACGCTATTATCGTTAGCTGCGCGGAAAGAAGAATGCCAAGGAAGGAAGAATGTGATATCAGTGATATTGGTGATAACAGAGAGGCTTAAACTCGTAATGAGTTTAATCTGCTGATTGAATAAATAAATACATTTGCAACACCCATTACGGTGAAATGACGCAGTGAATTAATATTGATAGTCGACGTACAATTATTCTGTGATATTGGCCTTCTTGCTCGCAGAAGTCAGCCACTTAAGCAACACACAGAAAATCGTTTTGGTATTCCACAGCAACTAAACTGACACTTCCGCCTCCCGGTCACTAGAGCACGACTGTACAATGGCCCTAAGTCGAATCACCGAACTATTTATAACTTTACGAACATGCTAATTTTTCACATGCATTCGTATGGATATTTCGAGGTGAATTACATGAATGCAAGTAATCGAAGCGTTTTGACTGTATGCAGAATATAAATTTGATTAAACTGATCGTCGGTTAATTTCTGAATAATCACAAAATCATGATTATGAATGCTCCTTTGATTGAAGATCATGCATCGACCAAAGCTTGCGAAGAAAAATTCTGCAGGGATACATGAATGCTTCCACCAATTCTAGATAGAAGTCTTTGATCTAGGAGAGATCAACAGTGTGATCTTAGCTGCTAGAAATTTTGATATTTGATAAATTTGCACCAGATGTACTTTTAAGTTTCTGGACTGGCCCAATATTTTAT